CATTTCGGTCATGATCTGCTTTGAATGTATATGTCACTCAAATATGAACGGAACGGGGACGTGTCATTGACAATGACTTGTTGATTTATGAAAGACGACAAAAGTCAACTCAAGAGTTAATCTACTGATTACTGAATGAACTAATCTTAATTTATGCGTTTATTTTATGTTTTCAGCCAAACTTGATTCGTTTACCATGACTGATCCTGATTGGCCGCAATTCATGCGAATTAACCCATTGTTGCATTGGAGATATCAAGATGTCTGGATGTTTCTACGGCAACTTTTTATACCATATTGTATCCTTTATGACCAGGGGTAAGTGATACAGAATTCATTATATCCAGTAAAGACATGATCTATGATTGTTTTTGATAGATTCTAAATGGACCAACATTGTTTCTGCAATGCTTCAATCATCTAAACACAAAACAAATGGAGTTAATTTGATGATGTAAACTAGTATTCATAAATTTTTAGATAGTTGTAATAATAATAATAAACTTCATGTTGCTAACCTGTTCCCTATGGATATAGATCTTCCACAGAATTTACAAACTCACTAAACTAAATAACTGGGTGTTTTTTTGTTTTGTTTTTTCACTTGACACACTTGGCTGTCTGCATTGTTATGAGAGAGTGATACATACTTGTACAACAACTTATTATTCCTGATTACTTTAATCTCATAGATATACATCAATGGGAGCTATGGACAATACAAAGCCTAATGCATTGTTAAAATACATAGATGAGAATGGAAAAACCTGCTACAGACCAGCTTATGAACTTGAAGATGAAAGCCAAGAAAGAAACGGTAGAAATGGCACCACTGATAAAAAATGGAACAAGGAAGTTAATCGTGACAAATAATGGCCGCTTGACGGCTATATTAATTTACATTTTATACTGACTGAGAGATACAAACTTGATAAATGAATTTTATGTTAATGTCAGTGTTACATTTCTACTGACAATAGCAATATAGACCAATTATTGAAAGTGAAAGCCAAGACTTTTGTAACTTTCATAACTGACTTTTTTGACTGACTTTTTATAGTTGCATTCAAGAGACTTTATTGGACAGACTGTTTTTTATTCAATAAATGGAGCAGGATTCATTGAATGCAGGTTTTTTAAAACATACCGGTATATTGTGTCACTTAGGTGAACAATGTTCAAATCAGATAAGTAGTGAGACAATAATCAATCACCTTGAATTATCTCTGACAAAATTAAAGAGTGGCTTGTAACGCATGTTCTTTTGATGATGCACCTATGAGAAAACACAATTTCTAGTCGTTTGCTTTGAAGTGATGTGGCTTCTGCTGACACAAATTTGTTATCAGATTGAGCGTTATTCGTCAGTTTAAAACAAATTCACTGCACTATAAACTAACATGGTTGAGAAAAATCTGTTTATGAAAAACCTTTTTTAAATACATGTTAAAAGTTGTCAGAACTGCACAAAACAAACTTTCACATGTCATGTTGGCAGACTTTGTTATAGATGTTTTTGCCTTAGTTAAATATTTATTGTCTACTGCCAGTGATGCTACAACTTGCAAGCTGAAATAAAACGATTTATAATACAGGGGGTCTTCCAACAATATTACAGAATAGAGCCCCCCCCCTCCTCTCTTGTAATGTGGGAGTATAATTATTAGCAATGAAGAGATCACTGTATCATGTAAATTAACAAAGGCTTTGCTTCACAACAAACTCCTCTTCACACCATCTATTTTACTAGTGTACACTGATTTTTCTAATCTTGCATACAGTCTTTCTTTTTGATGTTTTTTCAATAAAATATGAGTGTCTAACTAGCAAAAGTCCGGGTATCTGTTGTTTCTTGTTCGATCTACCTGGTTTTGCAGCAACCTGGCTCTCATATTTTATTGAAATAAACAAAACTGTATGGAAGTCTATAAACTGACCACTTCAAACATTGTGATCTCGAAAGCTTTTTTTAAGTTTTATTGATAATTGGAAAATGCAGGGTACTTGTAATTCTGTCTAATCAAATAAGGTTATCGTGGAAACAAATGTTATGTTGTATGTACTGTAAGCTTTCAAATATGAAAAGTAACTGTTGAGTTATTTATCGACCAATTTATTGTCCTCACTACAATAAATCGTGTCATAGGCACACGCTAAACACAGTTAACAGTTTATGTGAATCTGACTAATTACAAATGCTTCAACTGAAATTCCTGACACCTCGGATAGAGACGTGCACGTCTTTGAAACATTTTCACTGTAACACATTTTATAATAGGGATAGTCCACAGTTGCATAACACAATCAAAGAACTTGCGTTCCGAGTGTTTCATCAGGTTAAAAATGTTAATCTTATAACTTGGGTAGAGTTCCACTTGGTTAAGCTGCTAAAAAACTGGTTCATTAAGTTAAATTGGCTTGACCCCATTATAAACAGGATGCTGAATAAAAACTAGTATACGAGTAGTTCCCATTTTTGAATTCTCAGTTAAACAAGGGTAGCTAGTATTGTGTTATTGAGGTGTAATAGAATTGTCAGCACTTTGAGTTCCAGTGATGTGGGAAAATAAACAACTTGAAGTTTGAATAAATGATTAATTTGTAAAATTTTCTGAAAATACAAAGAATGGCATATATGACTACCAAACTGACGGTTCATTGCATTTTGAGAGGTTTGTACTGTAGGACACAAAACGCTTCAAGTCACATGGTCACTGCTGAAACAACCAGACATGCTTGATTTAAGGTACGAAGAAGCATCTACTGCACACCTTATTTTTTTGGAGTTTTTAAAATTAAAGCTTTTACAGCATAGTCCGAGAATCTTGCGTGAAATCAAACACCGCTCAGTGAATTTTGGCAATAATCCAGACACAGATGTGTAAACGCCAGAACAGTCATTTATATGAAAAAGTCATGGATGAACTTAAAAATCAGTGCACACGGCACTAGTGCAAATAAGCACATTCAAGTTCTCTTTTTCAGTTTGTATTCAAAGATGGTAGCCAGACCACGCAATTAGCTCCTCAATGTAACAACCCAAATGTCAGATCAATAGTTGAGCAAAAGGTTTCGAGACATTCCAGAAAATGATTAAAGTTACATGACCTCTAAAGTTCATAGTATAGATCAACGGAGCTAGAGAACAAAGTCACACATAGAGGGCTATATTTTATTTCTTCTACATTTGGGGACAAAGTACAAAATAAATGGATACAATGCTTATTACTACAAATACTACAGCATCAAATACAAACTTACCGTATGTTGAACATGATTTTAGTACACAAATAAAATGAGGTCTGAGAGCGATTCAGCTTTCGATTGACTTGCCAAACCTGAAGTAGTTTCACAGATGTTAAAAAACTGTTGCATTCCAAAACTGTGCGACTGCTAAATTTCGAAATAGTTACTGTTTACTTAATATTATCTGAGAAATTGGCATGTAGAAAAAATTCAGATTATTTTTATCAAGTAACTGGTGAAAATAACTGCAAATTGTTCGCCTTTTCTGTATACACAAGACCCCAACGTCTTACTGCTGTAGACTGTATAAAACTGGGAAAAGACCACAAAAAAAAAATGTTACAATTAATTTATCACGATTATATAATAAATCCACTTAATTACACTGTAAAAAAAGACTGCTGTGAAAGCTTATCTGCAAAGCTCAATAAAGATGACAACTATGTCTCTGGAGTCGATCCTCAAATTAATACTGACAACCACTTAGTATACAAATTGAAAATCATTCTGATATATACAATTCCATTCATTCACAAAAAAAATGTGTATTCACAAGTAAATCTGTCAGTCCCTTTACAAATTCAGCTTCAACATAAAACTTTGATGCTTTTTATAAAATAGCAGTCACACAGTCTTGATAAAATTATAGATTAGCAGAAAAGTTCCAAACGATCGGTGTCAGTTATAGCTATGTGGTTCCCCCCCCCACTCATGAGGCAATGGTTGTTGCACATGGATGCTTGAATATAGTGTAAAGGCATTTTATGAATATTGAATGGTCACTGCTCTTTGTAACACCAGAAAAATTTAATCATTCTGACAAAATCCATTGCACTTTTCCCACAATAAACATTGCTATGTTTCAGCCAAATTCAAATTCAGTAGTCACCATCACCGGAGTAAATAGCATGTACAACCACAGCTAGCCACCAGTGGAACAAAACTGTTAATCACAATTATGCAGAACAGTGTGGGAAAAAGATTGGTAGAATGAATGTTACATAAACACAGACCAGTAATAAAAACAATACAAATTATTTCATATAAATAAAGACAAGAAAAACACATGAAGTTTTATTTAATTTTTTTTATCCCACACACCTATTGCAAATAGCCATTTCTTAGGAGAGTCCAGTAACCCTGTGTTGACTGTTGTATACCCATAGAATCTATCAGTGTGAACACTAAGATGGTTTACCATGACACATCAGTTTTCACAGGATTACTCGGCTCCCAGTGATAGAAAGTTTTATTTTAATTTATTCACCACCTACATACCATACTATACAATACAAAAAGTAAATAATTAGCCTTGGCTCTGGATAACCACAGAAAATTTAGAAAAGCTACATAATTGGACATGCAACAACAAAAAAATTCTGCATATATATGAAGGCATGATAGAAGCTGCTGCTCCGCAAAAAAAAAAAAAAATCACAATGCATAATTTACTAAATTTGTACTCTGAACTGTATTTCACTGGCTGACCACCCTCCATCAGTCAATGGGTAAGGGGGGAAGGTATTTGTAAAAAAAGTTAAAAGTGCCAGAGGACATCTGTCAATTGTCTGTTATCTATTGGTATGGACACACTAGTAAATAATGTGTACAAAGCTTATATAAAGCATTAAGGAAAAAGAATTATTAAAATTATTTGCATTGGATGAAAATAGTCGCGTGTAGAACGCGAGGGTGCATTGCATTCACATTTAGTGTGTACGAGTTTTTCCATCAATGCCGACAACTGGCAATGCAATTACCATTAGAGCTGATGTAAGAAACCCTGTTTTATTGGTGTACCAGCTCCTGGCTCATAAATATAGACTAGAATTGACTTGAGAAATATTAAAAAGACAGTAAGTATTTTTTTTTATTCTTTCTTAAAATTAGAATGATGGACCAACTGTACCACTTAGCTGCTAAAAAAACAGTTACTAATAATGGTTACTACTGGTCATCATCATCATCTTCGGATTCTTCTTCCTCATCGGCGGTTTCCAGCCATGTTAACCAAGAGTTCACTTGAAATAGTGCTTTGCCTTTGCCCATGTAGTTGTCATTGATATCTTCTTTCCATTTGAGAAATACCTCTTCCTCTACCACCTCCATATCATAGAAGTAGACAAAGAATCGCAACAACATTCCTGTGATAAGAGAATGTACGAATACTGTTAAATTCAAGGAATACCAGTTATTGAAGTTGCATTTTGAGCATTCATAGAGAGTTAGTGTGGTCTTCTACGTGAAAAAATTTGATGGTTTTAATATGTGAATTGTGGGAAATGCACAATAAACATTCAAATTTAACGCTTTTCACCATTTAATTTGATTAAGTCTTTTGAATAGTGTTCTAAAGCACAAAGAATGTGTTCTGAATGAGTGCAGGTTTGTAGAACTCGAAACACACAATGTGCCACTGATAAAGCTTTAGGCTGGTCAAACAAGCAGCCTATCGGCTGAGATAGCTCCGCTGTTAGCAATGCACATTTCTATTAAAGAACTGAAGACATTAGAAAATGAACAATATGTATAGTATCAAAGCAAACGAACTTTTGTTTTTTAACAAGAAGTCGAAAATATAACTTTTTACCAAAAATGACAAAAAAATTCACCAAAATTAGAGAATTAAAGATATCATCACGAAATAAACAAATCTGAGAGAGGTCTACCCAAGGTACATATACACGAAGTATCAAAGCATTCAGGCTTGTAGTTTTCAAGAAGAAGTCGAAAAAGTAAAACATTGACACGGACGATGGAGCCGGACAATCACTCATATGATAAGCTCCGCTCGACAAAGTCGACAGCGGAGCTAAAAAATGGAAGTTATTTTATCCAGTGTTTAAGGCATTGAAGAAACAAGTTAAGGAATGTACATTCTCATACTAACCTTTTGGGAAACCATTATTGTAACAGTGAACTTGCAGTGCATATAACGCACTCAACTGAATTTGAACATGGTCATGTATAAACGCTTGTAACACAGGTTTTAAGTTGTTTAATAGCGCTCTCTCTTTCTCTTGCAGTTGCTTATCTGGTATGAGCGAGGCATCCATGCACTCTGACAAAGTACTCTCGCTGGTGCAGTACTTCACCAGGCTGTAAAAAGCACAACAAATTCATGATTTAGAGTATAATTGAAATAGATAGATTTGTTAGCCTACAACACCCATGTTGAGTGTCAAAAGATTCTAAGATCACATGAAACTAATGCAACAACAAAACAGGCTTTCAAAAGATGTATACACTTTCCAGGTATGTGATTATGTAACTGAAAATGTTTTCACTGATGTATGCATATTTAGGTAGAGATTTTAAAACAAACTATAGTTGTGGCCCAAAACAACTTTTCTATATTTAGGAAATGCAGACATTTGACTCAGTACTCCCCACCCACAAATAAAATTCAAAGAGGGGTGCTAATTTGCATATAATTAGCATATCCAATTTGCATATAATATGATATGATCCTATCTACAAAGCAGTCAAGTACATACCTGAGGGTTAGGGCATAGATGAACTCTGAATCAGCATGCAGTTTATTATCTACATTGTCTTTGATCCATTTATATAGTGTAGATGGATTTGGATCAGCCTTCAACTGTTTGGAGATGTCAGACTGCATTCTCAACAATGGAAACAAGAAACTGAGTTGCTGCAAAGAAAGATAAACAAATGATTGCTTTACCGTACTTATCTGGGTAAGAGCCCATGCCTGGGCAAATGCCCACCTCCAATTTTTTACACAATAAAGAAGTTGAGGTCCTGGGAGAGTGGTTGAAATCGCGTTATTTTGGCTTCATAAAATATTTCGTAGCAGCTTGCGAATCCATAACTGAGGGCCAGCAATTTTGCAATGTCACAAAGAGACTGCCAACTTTTTTACCATCTTTTATCACCGCTATTGCATTTCTGTCATGAAAACTATTCTTCTGTCGTTGGATAAAAAAAACAACTTCCTATTTCAAGTCCACTACGATATCCATATAGTGAGACATTCCAATGTCACGATTTGACCTTTATGATGAAATACTACCGTAGTAGTGATGTCATTCTTAGCCAATTAGTAGATGATTGCCAGACTGTAAACAAAAGCACCATTTGGCATTGCAGCAACGCGACCCCATTTTTCTTGTCTCTTTCTTTTTCTTGTGATTAGACATGAATGAAAAGTGCCAAGCTGACAGACTGCGAAATCCGTGTGGGACGATATCGACGAACTTCAGGAAGAAATTGTAGGGATTTTGTTCAATGGCTACAGTGATGCCGACTTGGATTTTGAGGGTTTTTTGAGTTGGACGAAGATGGCAATGAAGTACAAATAAAGATCTGAAGTTTTAATTTAAACAGCTATGAATTTTTATAATTTTTACTGTGTAAACTTGTAAATTATTATTGATCTTGTATGACGGTTGATTCGTAATTTGTCGATACCGGAAATCATTTTATGCAGTTTAACCCCCGATATTTTAATCCATTTTGAGTTTACGCGTATTGGGCGTGTTTGTCGGCAGGAAAATCCTAAATTCAAATGATTCATCACTGTCGATTTTTATTATTGCTGGTTTATTTGTCACATTATATACAATACATTAATTTTGTTTTACTTC